CCACCCACTCTCTCCCCGGCACTCACATTGTGTGTCAATTCCTGTCTCCAGCTGGCACCTCCGCACTGCACTCCCTACGCTGGCATCAGCTACCTACTCGACATCTGCCCCTGGAGGAGGGCAGCCAGGCATCGGAGCCCCAACCCGTTCAGATGCTGACTCTTGAATTGCCCTCCTCCTCTCAGCCCCACGTCCAACCAGGCTGACTCCTCTTCCCAGCTATAGCCAACGTCAGAGCACAGCGATACCTCCGCGGTCGAACTCAATTTGTTCCAAATGTGTGTTCGAACACTGAAGCGTTCCAGAACTACACCTAGTTTCCCCATACAAAACCATGAAAACCGAATAATTGGTTCTGAGGCCCCAAAAGTTACCATTAGCAATTCACCTGGAGGCCTTGAGCCTTTGTGCACAATCGCTGCCTCAGATATGCGGTTGCCACTCCTTCTGATTCACTCAGATCAAGTCATGTCAACCTCCTCAGTGGGCTGGGCTACATTAGGTGCCTTTATCACATTTCCCCTCAAGAAGATTGACAGTGCCGACTTGTTCATACTGCATTCTGCCGCCAAATCAGACAAGTGGCGACCTGATTCAACTTTCACGAGGACGTCTTTCTTCGACTCCCTCTTGGCTCAGTTGTCCTCCTGGCGTTACTGCTGGTGGCACTCATTTCTTTGGAGCCACAGTGATGAGACTTTATGCAAATAAAGCACGTGTGCGCACGCACACACGGGACGAACGTTTTCACGCACTAACACAAGCACCATTGGTTGTCTGAGCAAGAGCGGCGCTTAGATTGAAGGTCACCCAGCTGTGTCCGCGGTGAAACCTGACGCGTGGCTCACCGTTGGCCTGCACGTGTTTTTTTCAAGTTGGACTTTCAGTCCGACTATCCAGAAAAGTCATGGACACTGAGCAGATTTTTTTTTTTGCACTTTGCCATTTGAGCAGTGGCGCGCTTGAGCTTAGAGCCGGTCCACAGCCTGAGGGATCACTGTCTTTGCCACCATGTCCACACTGGCTACCACAGTGGATCACACCCAAGCCCTGTCTCCACTGGGTCACAGCAATTGGCTTCCAACACACCTCTCTGCTTCCGCCCTGGCCAGCCCTCATCTCACCACACCCCACACCGCAGCTGGAGCGGTCCCACGTCAATCGCATTGCTTGCTCTCCTGAAAACCTTTCGACCCCATCTGGTCTTCACGTGGCTTCCAAGGCCCTCCGGCCTGGGTGCTGTTGCTGCGAGTGTGCCACCGACTGACCCATAGTGACCCCATGTGCCAGCGCCATGGCCCTGGGGGTGGGGTGGGGGAGTTCTGGGCTGTAATCTTGCCAGGAGCAGACTGCACCGCCAGGTTTTTTCTCCCGCAGAGCCGTGGGAAGGGTTGAACTGCCAACTCCCCGCATTGGTAACAGAGTGTGGTGTCACCAGAGTTCTTAATCTGAGTACACACTGGCACCACCTGGGGCGCTTTAATAAAGACCAGCCCAGAGCAATTCCCCAGCGTCCCGGGGCTGGGGCCAGACCTTATCTGTGCAGCTGCCGTGAAGGCGGCAGCCCTGCCCAGCACCACTGCCTCTCCTCTCCACTCCCCGCCTCCTGGCATCTCTCATGGATGACTTCGTGCTTCCGGTAAGGGACCCACCAAGACGATATACTGGTTTACGTTGCCTTGGACAACTTAAAGGAAAATGAAAACCCCCACAGGTGGTTCTTCGTAAGGTCACGAAGGGCACGAGTCTCCCAGTCTCTCTGCGGACACCGTCATCCGTGGGCGCTGCATGACTCGAGTCATTTAACAAGCGGATGTGACAGGCATGTACCGGGGGGCACTGCTCCAGGCCCTGGGGACTCAGCGGTGAATGAGTGGGAGGGAGCAGCTGTTCTCGAGAGGGCGACAGTCTAGCTGCGAGGACAGAGTGCTCAGATGAGTGTGTCAAGTGGGCATGGTGGGCAGATGCCATGAAGCAGTGACATGCCGGGTGAGGGGGCAGAGTGGGGGAAGGCCTCGCTGACCACTTGGCTTCCTAGATGGCGATCCCCGTGCAGTGTGGGCATGAGCGAGCCACTGTGATGAGGGGACCCAAAGACGGACTGCCGAGACCAGCCAGGCAACTCACAGGCACTCTGAGACCAGAGGCACCCTCATCTTTCTTCCGAGGAGCGGCTGGGGCACGGCCCGGTGGTTAGCAGGTCAGCGCTAACCCACGGCCCCACCAGGGCTCTCAGGCAGTGGGAACTCCTGCTGCTCACGGCTGCTGAGTCCACACAGCGGACCGAGTGACACACAGTGGCCCCGTGGGACAGTCAAACCGCCTCTTGGGGTGTCGCAGGCTTCACATTGTTACAGGAGTGGCCAGCCCCATCTCTCTCCCACGGCCAGTCAGGCAACATGGCTCTTGGTCACCACAGACCAACTCTGCCCTGGCTGTGTGGTGACGGTCCATCCCCATGTTTACGCTTTCTCCATGCTCGCTTGCCGAGGCGCACTCATGGAAGGCTGACGACCACCAACAGCCTTCTTCTCCTTTCAGGCAGAATTTGCTTGTCGGAAGCACATTCCCAGAGGTTCAACCGACAGCTATTTACACCGTGCAGATGCCCTCTCTACACCAGTGCCAGGGCACTGGTACTCAGGCAGGGCCAGCCGGTATGTCATGGCTCTGCTCTGGGCAGATGGTGGTAAGAAGTCACAGCTCTGGGTGCCCGCTGGCTTTGCCTGGCTGGCTGAGTTGCAGTGGAAAAGGACCCGGAGAGGCAGCACCAGGGGTGAGTCCCTGACTGAGTCTGGTGCACTAGGGATTGAGCCTTTTCAACCATCGAAGCTATGTGGGCCTTTTAAGTAAGGACAGAGTAAGACACCTCTATCTAGTTTCTGGTGAACATCCAGAGAACACCCGCCCACATGCCATCAACAGGAGGACAGCGACTGACCACCTTCACACTGCCTCCCAGGGACTTGTCGGACCCGGTTCAGTCCACACACTCTAGTCAGACGGGGGCAGAAAGGCGCCATTGAAGCGCCATGAAGACATGATGCACCATGTTAAGAAGGTTAGATTTTACCCAGAGATCTGGGAAGCTCATCCTCTCACATACCACCAACTTCTCCCGAATGGTCCTCGGAGCACAGCTCAAATATTGCGGTTTACTAATGGAGCCGTCTCTGACCCGTACTCTGTCAAACCTCCAACTTTATGTACCCACACAGCTTTCTGGAAACCCACAGGGGCAGTTCTATCTGCATCTCGGGGGTCGCTATGGATGGCAGTGACTTTGGTTTTTATGGTTCATTATATCCCCAGAGGGGCCCGATGGTGTAGGTATGCATTGGCTGTAGTGGTTAGGCATTGGGCTGCCATCCGCAAAGTCAGCAGTTCGAAACCACCAGCCACTCCGCAAATGAGAGATGGACCTTTCTACTCCCATAACCATTTAGTCTGGGAAACTCACAGGGGCAGTTCTGCCCTGTCCTACAGGGTAGTTATGAGGTAGCATCAACTTGATGGCATGAGAGTTGAGTTGAGATATCCCCATAGTAGGTACTGAGCACATTTTTGCTGGAAATGAGAGACATGATCATATCTGACTTTAAAGGGGCACTGGCTTCAGAGTGCGGATGTGTGACAGGCTTTTGCTGCCTATTCCTGTATTTGCCCTTTCACAGAACCTTCTGACTGGCTGTCTCTATCACTTACAATTCCATTACGGTAAGGAGCCTGTGTTGGCATGGAAGGGAAACTGGAGCCCAGCCCCCAGTGTGGGAACTCTTGTGTATTTTTATTTTTAGACCTTAGAGCTTGGGATATAATATTTGACCACAAAAGAAATGAGGAAATATTTGGTCTCCCAATGATGAAATTCAGATTACAAAATCTCACAAAAGTCTCCCTCAAAAAAGAAGGAAAAGTCTAAAGACATTCTCATTGTGGTACCGTAATCAGGATGCTGATGTCCTCTCTCCCTCCTGGCAGTCCCCACGCCCCCGCCCCTACCCAAGGGAACTATCAAGGCTGGAGCTCAGTCGAGTCTCAGAGGTTCTATCTCAGTGCAGGGCAGCTGTGGCTTAAAAAAAAGCTCTTGACCAAGACTGTTGAAAGGATCCACGTTTCAACATTTCTGACACCAACAGGAGAATCCAACCTGCCTTACTCAATCCTGCCTCTTCCTCGTCATCGCTAATGCTGACTGCGATGGTGGCCACACTCAAGTGCTAAGCATGGGTTCTGGAAGATCCTAGAAAAGAACCTTAGCACATGCTGCCACCATGCTCACTGCCTTCCTTTTTTCCAAAAGAAGAAGATAAAGTTTCTTGATATTCTTCAACGCTGACGTCAATTTAAAGTCAAACCCAGAGCCAGCCAGACTCCCTGTTTTGTGAAATTAAATGAGGGTCCATATATAAAAGCACTCAATAAGCGAATTCCATTCCACTAATCTCCAAAGGGAGCTCTGGTGGCATAGTGGCTATGCACTGGGCTGCTAGCCTCAAGGTGAGCAGTTTGAAACCACCAGGCGCTCTGTGGGAGAAAGAGGAGGGTTCTACTCCCATAAGGAGCTACAGTCCCAGAAACCTAGGTTCCCAGCTTCAGTTACAAAGAGATGGCACTTTCCCACAGAACAGTGTTAACAGCCTTGTGCTGGTAACTAGCAAAATCCCAGCCCAATTTACAACAACTATTTCCAAACACAGCCCGGGCGTGGGCTCACAGTGTTTCATCAGCTGCTCTCCTGACCACACACTCACAATCTCACTGCCATTAAGTCGAGTCCCCCTTATGGCAACCCTCAGGACAGAGTAAACTACCCCTGTGGGTTTCCGAGGCCGCAACTCTCTTCACGGGAGTAAAAGCCGCGTCGTTCGACTGTGGTGCAGCTGCTGGATCCAAACTGCTGACCTGGTAGTTAACAGCCCAACACGTAACCCGAGGTGCCACGAAGGCTCCTCTGAAACAGACAGTGCACTGGGAAGGCCCCAGGAGGCAGAGTTTACCTGTGTGCGTGCGTAGATGTTTCTTTAGCTGAGACACATCCATGAATTTGTGATGGCAGTGGCTGCATTCCGGTAATGAGTGGCCTTGTCACAACAATAAAAAGAGTGTCAGTGCATGTACGCGCTCTGCATGTCTTCAGTGATTTCTGACTGCGCTCCCCTGAAAAATAACCACCTTAAATATGGCATTTCAACCAGGCGACAGTGCTTGTTAAAAATCGATGTGGCAACAGGTAATATTGTCCTAGGCACCTGAACTCGGGAGAATACTGTGCTTCCCCAAGAGAGCTGGGACCCTTCCCATAGCGGTATCTCGTGTGGTATTCCCAGTCCCCCTTCTCCTTTCTTGTAAGTTGATGGGACAGTGGGTGGAGCCAGGTGGGAGAAAGCCTGGGTTGAGGTTCATGGCGTGGTGACATCTAGACCCCAATGGCACCAACCAACGGCCTGCATCCTCGCAGCCAAGTGGCACCTCTGAAAGGTACCAATTGTGAGGCGTTTCTGCGGGGATACAAGTCCCGTGGAGGTGGGGGCTGCCACAAGAACAGCTCACGTGGATCGCTTTGAAGAGCCTTTCCTCTCAACACTCCATTATTGGTAGCTCCAATCTAAGGGCTTAGAAAGGATCCCGCGGGCACCAGTGTGCTCCCCAGCCCCAACCCGGGGGGTTCGCCTACTCGACTGTACCTGTATGCACGCGGTAGTGGCTCTTCAGCTGTCGCTTCTGGCTGAAGTACTTCCCACACTGATCACAGGTAAAGGACTTCTGCCCTGCCGAATGAAAAACAAGGCGCGGGGGCATGCACAAGTGGGAGGGAACGAGAAGGACGCTAAGGTCAATGGCCACAAGGGGCCTAAACTCACTGCCATCGAGTCAATTCCGACTCAGAGCAACCTTATGGGGCAGGCTCCAAACTGCCCTTGTGTGTTTCTGAGACTGTAATGCTTTCCGGGAGTAAGAAGCCTTGTCTTTCTCCTGAGCTCAATCTACTGGTCTTGTGCTTAGCAGCCTGATGCATACCCACTACGCCAGCAGGGCTCCTAGGCGCCCCTTTTCTACAAAGTCATACAGGGCGCTTGTCCGCAAGCCTGAATGCCATCAGTGTCGATGGCAGTACCATTAATGTGCGCACGTATGGAAGGCAATCAGGAGCAGTGGAGACTGGGGTCAACCTAGAGCTTTGAACACGTTTGTTCCGGTTGGACCTCCTGCTGAGAAATGGCATTTCCACCCAAACCCAAGTCAGAATCATTCTTAACAGGAGCCCCCCAAGTGATTCTTACAGATCACCAGGTTGAGTCTTACCTGTCTATACCTTGAGAATCACTTGGGGATCGTGTTAAAACGTAGGTTCTAAATCAGTGCACCTGGGTCAGAAATATACATTCTTAGCAGGGGTCGGAGAGACCAGAATAAACTGGTTCCAAGCCCCAGGAGAAATCCAGGCTTCCCTGAAAGGCATTCAAAGTAAAATAATTTGAATCTCTGGTACGTACACAGTGCATTTCTGTACACTGAAGTGCCCGTTTCCAGGCTCAGTGCTGCACAGAGCTCTCAAGCTACACTGAGGCAGATGCCTAATGTCCTCTTCAAAGATGCGACATGGGGCATGATCGGGGCTGAGGAAAGAAAGACCTTCTTTCAGGGGCATGCCCACCCTAAGAACAGGAGGAGCCTGGTGGCGGCTGGCCCCCTGGGGCAAGCGAGCTTACCTGAGTGCAGGCTCATGTGCTCCAGCAGGGAGTGCTTGGTGGTCAGCGCCTTGCTGCACACAGTGCAGGCGTAGGGCCGCTCGCCCGTGTGCATCCTGGTGTGGACCTGCAGCGAGTGCTTCTGGGCAAAGCCTTTCCCACACTCGTTGCATTTGAAAGGCCGCTCCCCTGCAACAAGAGCCCCGGAACAGGCCGTCAGCAAGAGTCCGCAGCCTTGGGTCACTCCAAAATCCAAATGCGAGCAAAGGGATCCCACTCAGAAGACAAAGGTCCCAAGGAAAGGGAGCAGGCATGAGGACATCCAGCAACACAGACAATCACGAAAGTGAGAACACGAAAGTGGCTTCGAAGTCAACAGTGGGGAAAGTGGCACCTAAGTGGAATCTCAGTACTAAGACTGCGTCTCCAGCAGGCTCAGGAATTGGCAGCTCTGGAAAAGGGGGTGACAGAGGGAGGGCAGCTGGCAGTCTGTTTCAAAGGAAGGTAGCCCTTCCCCGTAGGTCCAGGCCTCAGTTCCCTATAGCCAGGAGACTCCCCCCGCGCCCCCCCAACAGCCTATTCTCTGGGATGGAGTCACCAGGCACTGCTGAATAGGAGTACCACAGAGAGGCTGTCAGACAGAGCCCAGGCCTGAAAGACTCGGCTTCCCTGGCCCTCCTTCCTCTCTTACCCCAAGGACACTGGCAGCCAGGCCTCCAGGGAGGAGAGTGGAGGTACCTTCCCCTGGACTGCCAAGGGCCCAAGAGAACCCAAGACACGGGGCCGCCACACGGGGTCCAGCGAGGCCCTGCCTGCGAGCGCTATCCATACCTGCAGGATTGTCACTTGGCTTTTGTCTGACATTAGTATGGATTTAAAAACAAAACAAAACCACCAGACATTCCAGGGGGGTCTCTAACAGAGGCAGAGACTAAAATGAACAAAGAGAAAGAGCAAGGTGCAGCCATGGCAGGTTGCCCAGTGAGGGGACATTGGCAATGAGCAAACACGTCAACGTCAGCATTAGCACGCCCACGGGGCCAGGCAGTGCCCTGTCAACAAAATAGAGGATGCAGCTTTTTAAACCCAGACAAACAAAAGGAGCTCCTTGAAACAAAGAGTGGACGATGTGAAGTTTTCACAGACTGAAAGATTTCCAAAAAATGGAAATCTCTCAGAGTCGTGTGAAAGATGAAGGAAAATTTGAGGAGAGAGAGAATTCGGGCAGGAGGACCCAAAGTTCCAGCAAGAAGACAGAAGGGGAAGGTTGGGGTGGGAGATAGAGGGAAGGAAATCTATGAAATAACTCAGGAACTTTCCCAAATGTAAGGATATGAGTTACTAGCCTGTACAGACCTACCCGGTATCCATTCCGGCAGAACAGAGCAGACTCATGCTAATGCACTGCAAATTACCAGTGGGGACACAGGACAACCCTGTATGCGTTTTCCTCACGTTTTAACTATCTCTCATCTGTACCTCTACCCTTTACAAACCAGAATGTTTCACGGGCCTTTTTCATGAAGCACCAGAATCCACGACTTTCAAACTACCTGCACTAAGACCCTTTTAGGAAACATCAAAGCGCCACTTAAATGAATGAGCAGCTGGTGGGGTGGAACCAGACCCAGGTGATTCTAAGGGGCAGCTAGGACTGCAACCTCAGGCCCTAGAGGCTGTGGAATGGTAGGAGACTAAAGCTCTGCTCTCTATACTCAAGCTCAAAATTAAAACAAGGGCCATGCTGTCAGCTGTTGTTGGGTCAGCTCCAGCTCATGGTGACCCCAAGCAAAATGGGATCAGACTGGACTGTTAGGATCCAGTTTCCACTGGCTGGTTCTCACAGGTTGACCGCCTGTCTTCCCAGTCTGTCTGTCTGGAAGCTCTGTCAAACCTGTTCATCGTCACAGCAATACTCAAACCTCTGACGGGTTGCGCGGTGGCTGTGCTGGCCAGGAATCAAACCTGGGTTTCCTGCACAGAAGGCAAGATCACTGCCATCCAGGGGCATGCTAGTAGCCACAACCTATCTCAAACTGAGTTAGTTCAGGGTCTGGAGAGAGAACTCAGGGAGGAAGGCATAGCAGCTACAGAGACACTGTCCAATAGGGTGGCTACAAGCCACATGTGCTTATTCCAATCGATTTTAGAAATCCAGCGCTGACACACTTGCTGCTCAGTGCTCCATAGCCACACATGTCTGGGGGCTACATTTTGGGCAGTGCACACATACTCCATTTGAAAGGTACTCCGCTCTCTTTCAATTCCACTTTTCCACAAACTTGTCTGTGTGCACGTGTGTATGAGGCTAAGTCAAAAGGTATTACTAGTAGGGTTTCCTTTTATACATGCGTGGGTTTATTCCCAATGAGACATTTTTCAACATGGCCCAAATCCAGCTGTCACTGAATGTATGGTCCTGGTCAAGTTATGGAAACTTTCTAGGGCTTGGTCTTTTCATCGGTTCAATGGGGATGTTATCTGCCTCGCAGGATTGCCGTGGTCATTAAATGTACTAATGTGTACAAGGGCTTTCGTAATACAATGTATGCCACACAGAATTGTGCGGTAGCTATGACTCACCCACCACCTGCCAGTCTGTTGCACTGGAGTGGTTTCCATGCTGCTGTGCTAGGAACAATGTGCCCGGTATTCCAAACACCGGCCGGGTCACCCCGGGTGCACAGGTTCAGGGGTGCCTCCAGACTAGTCTATGAAGAAAGACCTGGCAATCTACTTCCAAAACTGAGCTGATGAAAATGTTAGAGCACAGGGCCCTGTCCAACGTACTTCCTTTGAACGCATCCCAGGGAAGGCTGGATCTCAAGAGAACACGTTTGATGAAGGGCAGGGCCAAGGAGGGTGTGGGAGACCCTTGGTGAGATGGACCTACATGTGCTCTGCTGTACAGAAGGGGGCCGAGAATTGTGTCTCCACTCAATGGCACCGACTAACCACCCTCAGCCAGACTCCAAAACGCGACACAAGTGTCATTAATGAATTACCAGTGTGGCTCCTCTGGTGGATTGCTAAAAAGTGATTGTACTTAAAGACTTTGCCGCAGTCTTTGCAGCGGGCCTCAGGGCCAGCACGTTTCCGCCTTCCACAGACCCTTTTGGCAGAACCATAATCGTCTTCATCCCCAACGAGTTTGTAATCTTTAAGTTTGACAGATCTCCGGAGCCTCCGTTTGCTATACCGACTCTGGCCGGCCTGCCCATCCTGGGTCTGGGGATCACAGTTCTCATCCTTTTCAGTCGGGAGTTCTTCCACCCCGCTGCTGGACTCACACATCGGTGGATCTTCTTCCACTTCTTTCGCTGGGCTCTGTTGGCTCAGCACTCCGCTGCCGCCTTCACTGGCCAGAAAGTTCTGTCTGTTTTGCACGGAGTTGTTCACCCTGAGCTGTATTTCTTCCTCGGCAGCGGGTCCTGGTTTACCTCCTTCCGGCGAATGGTTGACTTTCTTTGGCCTTCCCCGTTTCCGCTTGGGAGGATCATTTTTCTTATTAGAGATCACCACCACCTGCGCCCCGGCAGGATTCAAAGTTGAGGGCTTGGAGGAGCTGTGGTTATTCTGGAAGTCTGTGCACGCCTTTACCAGGTCATAGACTTTCAGGAACTGAGCCGTTGCCAGGATTTGCTCGGCAGTTTTCTCACTGGCGTGGAGATCACCCGTGTAGATGAATTCCAGCAGGATGCTGAAGGTATCGGCCAGCATGCCTTCCAGCATATAAAGGGACTGGCCCATCTCCCCCTCATCAGCAAACATCATGGAGAAGTACTCGCTACTGGCAGCTAGCAAGGCTTTGTGGGCCCGGAAGTGCACGTTCTCCACGATCAAGGTGATGTCGCAGAGAAAGCCCTTCTTCCTCTGATCCTCCAAACTGGCCAAGACGGAGTCGCTGTGAGTGGCTGAGTGGACAGCCAAGCATCCCAAAGCCTGCTCCGGGGACGTTTCTGCCATTGTCCAGTCAAGGTGTCAACAACCTGAAACAAGAAAACAGTGTAGAAAAAGGAGAAAGCTTCGTCCTAACAAGGCTAATCTCAGTACTAGTAAATGAGCACGGGATGCGCCCCGTCCACAAGGTGAGCTGAATTTTAACCATTGCCCGTTTCCAAAAAGTCACGTTCCAAGAGCGTAGCTTTTGGAGAGTTCTCATTCCTGTTGTACCATGAACCAGCTCAGCTAGGCCAATTCCCAATATCCAAGCGTGCCATCTTTCGGGCTCTGATTTTCCTCTGTGAAATGAAGGCACTGTCCTTCCCAGTACTAACTTTCTCTGATTGTACACGTACGGGTCCGGGAAGCACCGTCTCCGTTTCAGCTACACTAGCCCCTGCAGTCCCTGAAAGCTAATAAAGGGGGTGGAAAGGGAAGAAAACGTACCGGTGCAAACTGCATCTGTAGCAGGCAGCTGCAATATCCTAAGACTTCAGCTGCAGTGCGGCCTCGCTGGGATCAGCCGGGGCCGCGGGCGCACGGTTCCACGGAGCCAGCCGGGGAAGGAGGGGCGGCCAGGCTGGGGGGGAGGGCCAAAAGCCGCGGGGGCCCCGTCACCGCGTTCGGGCCCGGGCGGACCTACCTCCAGGGTCTGTTCAGCGGGGTCCGAGTCCGGGCGCAATTGGTCCAGCAGCGGCGTGGAGGGCGCACCCCCTCCGGGGCAGTCTCGCGGCCCTCCGCTAGGGCTCCTGCGCCAGCCGGGTTCAGCCCCGCCACGGCCGCCACGGCCAACCCGGAAGCAGCGGGACGGGAGCCGCGCGCGCGGACGCGGACGGACCACGTGGCCCGCGGGAACGCCCCCGCTGGGGGTGTGGCCGGCGACGCCCCTCCCACCGCTCCGGCGGGCCCGGTTCTGCGCAGTGAATTTGGTGGGACGGGCGGGCGGGAGGGAGCTGGTGACGCGGCGGCTAAAGCACCAGACTGCTACCCCCAGAGTCTGACGCTTTGAACCGAGAAGCCGCTGTTCGGGAGAAAGATCTGGCAGGGGATCGTGTGTGCTTGTAGCGTGCCCTGGGAGAGTCTGTAAGGAAGGGGCCCTGGTGGGATAGTGGGTTTCCGTGTTGGGCCGCTATCTGCAAGGTCGACAGTTCGAAATTAGCAACCAGTCAGAGCGAGAAAGATGTGGGTTTCTATTCCCGTGAAGATTTATAGTCTAAGGGGCAGCCACACGCTGTCCTACAGGGTTGGTATGAGTCAGAATTGACTTGATGGTCGTTTGGACATAAGGGGAGCGAGGACGACAACGTAAGGAGACAAAAGAATTTCAGGACGCGTGAAGATTTATAAAAACTGTCGAGGGAAGCAAATTAGGATTAGGTGACATTTGAATGGAGGTCTGCATGATGGAGTACCAATGTTCGAGGCAATGTAAATGCACGCGTAAAGGCTCTGCATGTGGGAATAAGCTTGGCACACTTGGGACGCAGAAAGATTGTGCTGACAATGAATGAGATGAGAGTGGCAACGGATGGAAGGGGAGGTAGGTTGCCATGTTTGTTTAGCAAATAAAACCAGAGAACCCAGACTTAATTTTGAAGGTGAAAGTTAAATTGTGGTGCAAAGATTAAACATCCGGCTGCTAGCCAGAAAGTTGAGGTTTTAAACACCCGGCGAAGCTGCTTCTGTAAAGATTGCCAAGAAAATCCCAAGGAGGCATCTCTAATCTTTCACTTGGGGTTTCTATGGGCCAAAAATCAATTCACTTGCACCAAATAGTAGTTAAATTTGAATGTCAGATATACAACAAATACCACTACACCAGACATGGTTACGCTAAAACATCCATTGTTTATCTGTAATTCTGTTTTATCTAGCAATTTTTACTGGAGAGGATATGTTTTTTCCCGAAAATACGGGGAAGTTAAGCTTATGAAAAACTGCCACCACTACAAGACAGATAGACATGATACAGAAAATGTGTAACTGAGAGTATGGGAGAGTAAAGGCAATCCCAGGACCTAAAAAGTAGAATTGAAACCAGAGTAGTATGCTAGCTTTGGAAATCCTAGGGAATTTATCAGGGCCCGAGGTTGGAAGTTTGAAAGGCTAAATTAGGAACAGGTTCAAAGGTATGTCCTATTTCTGAGGTGGGGAGTTAGAGGTCTTCTTACACAAGCCAGGCCCCTCCAAATGGGTTTAACCTCTTCTGAAGGAGTGGATTTGGGAATAGGGATGGAAATCTGCTTATATTGGTAAAGGGAGATAACAAGAAAATGTATCTTGTTGGTGTTAGGCCCAGGTGAGGGGGAATGTCGATTTTGAAAATTTGTAATTGGGCAGAATTTTAAAACAAATTCCTCCCCTTACCCAAATAGAAATTAACCTGTAATCAATGGAATTTAAGCCACGGTGGATAATACATCAATAAAATTTTTAACCATCTTGAAGAGAAAAGTTAGTGATCTAGAACATAGATTCTCATCAGAGAAGCTAGATCATAGGAAGATGAATGCGGCATCAAGACTGGAGGAAGACGTCTTAACAACCTATAGTATGCAGATGACCCAACCTTGCTTGCTGAGAGTGAGGAGGACATAAGGCACTTGATGAAGACCATAGGTTTCAGCCTTCCTTATGGATTACAACTCAATGTAAGGAAGACCAAATTTTTCACAACTGGACCAATTGGTATAACATCATGATAAACCAAGAGAAGATTGAAGTTGTCAACAATTTTGTCTAGCTTGTATCCATAATCACTGCTCCTGGAAGTCAAGAGATGAAATATCACATTGCATTGAGTAAATCTGCTGCACCAGATTTCCTTAAAGTGTTGAAAAGCAAGGATGTTACTTTGAGGACTAAGGTGGGCCCGACCCAAGCCATGGTATTTTTAATCACCTCACATGCATATGAAAGTTGGACATTGAGTAAGGAAGACCAAAGAAGAATCAATACCTTTTGAATTATGGCCTTGGCGATGAATATTGAGAGAACAAACAGATCTGTCTTGGAAGAAATACAGTCAGAATGCTCCTCAGAGGCACGCATGGCAAGACTTCATTCTCTGGAGACCTGTCCTTGGAGAAGGACATCATACTTGGTAATGGGGAGGGGCATCGACAAAGAGAGAGGCTCTTGATGAGATTGATTGACCCCGGGGCTGCAACAATTGGCTCAGGCATGGGAACAATTGTGAGGATGCTGCAGGACCAGGTGGAGTTTTTCCCTGTTGTTCATGGGATCACCAGGAGTCAGAACTGACTCGAAGGCCCCTCACAACACCACCCAAGCCAAGGTGTTCGCAGCTGCTTCATGTATCTGTGAAAGGCGGGCGATGAAAGAGAAGACTGCAGAACAATTCAATGATAGTGTCGGGGAAGAGTGTTGGAAGTACCACGGACTGCTACCGTAGAAGAAGGAACAAAGCTTGGAGGAGGTATAATCTGAATGCTCCTTAGAAGGGAGGATGGAATGACTTACATACTTTGGACATGTTACCAGGAGAGACGATTCCCTGGAAAGGGACATCATGTTTAGTTAAAAGAAAAAGTAGAGGGTCAGCAAAAAAGACACAGGCCCTCCAGGAGATAGATTGACACAGTGGCAGCAGCAAGGGGATTGAGCACAGCCACTGTGGTGGTAATGGTACATGAAGGTCCGGGCAATAGGACAGGACAGCAGCAGCCCTGGACAGGGACTGTTGCTTGTAGGTAGACACGTGCTTGAATATGTTAAGCAGTCTTCAAAATGCCTGGGAACCAGGATGGGCGAATACATGCGTGAATTCATTCTTGCAATGCTTCTTCCCTGGTTGAAGTAACAGTTTTATGTCTCTCATTTTACCAGCCTTGATGCTGAAAGGTCCTTCTCATTCCGATGCCATCCTCTGCAAGAATACTTCCAAGAGGCACGGTAGTGAAGGTTTTATAAATACACTTCTTTGTGACCCGTTGGCTTTATAAATAAACTTCTATTTAGCCTTCACTGTGAAAGCAAAAACAACCCCCTCAAACAAAAGATAACAAAAGATCTAAGGCTAGATAAAGGCATTCATGTGTAAAATAGACCTTTTGAACTCCCTTCCCCTTTGCCACTGAGTTTAGAATAAAGTTTTAATAATAATTGATGATAAAAAGGACTTATAGGTGTATCAACAAAGGATTGATAATTAAAAGGACATATATGTAATAAAACAAAATGTTAAAAATGACTATCTATTACGCTTTGATTCCTTTAAAACTATTTCACACCATATCCTGAAATGAACAAAGAAGGAAATATCCCACCCCCCAAAACCCAGATGATAATACAGGATTAAATCTGTATTAGAAGAACTTTCAAATTGTAAAAGAGCACTCAGAATCATAAAGACAAGTAGCCTTTGCTTACTTTTAAAGGTTCAAACCACTGACCTTCTGGTTAGCGGCCCAGCTTGTAAGCGACTGGTTGGCACCATAAGGATGGGATGAGAGGTGTGGAAATTGAGGGCCTGCCTGTAATTCAGGTATCAGCAGACCCAGATGCCTATAGTGGCCAGAGGATTAAACTTTATAAAAGAAGCTGGTCATCTGTGGGAAAGCAGTAAGGAGGGGGTCACTGCAAACTGGAGGGTACCCTCCCACTAACTGGTGCAGCTGTTGCCAGACATTTCTGTTCTTCTCTAGAAAATGGAACTTTGCAGTTCTTTATAGAAGTTTCTGATTTTTCAGCATTCATGACCAATTCTAAGCTGTGGGTTAATTCACATCTGCAAAGGAAAAGGGCTGCTGTTTATATTACATAAAACTTAATTTGAAAGGATTTATTTACTGATGTTTAAAGTAAATGAAAAGGGCTGCTGTTTATATCACGTAAAAAATTCATATCAAGCCAGGGTGCAGCATAGCACCAATGGAACACACAACCCTCTAGTTCTTTAATGCTTCCCCCTCCCCATTATCATGACCCCAGTTTTACCTTACGAATCAGGTTAGACTGGAGCATGTACACTGGTAGAGATATGAGCTCTTGACACATGGAATCCAGGACAGATAAGCCCCTCAGGAAGAGCAATGGGAGTGGCCATACCATGAGGGTAGGGGTAGGCGGTTATAGGTAGGGGCAGGGAAGAAATGGGGAACCGACTACAATGATGTGTAACTGCCCCCCTCCCTCCCCAGGGGGACAAAAAACAGTAATGTGGACAAAAGGAGACAGCAGGCAGTGTAAGATATGACAATAATAGTAATTTATAATTTATCAGGTGGGAGGTGGCAGGGGGGGGGGAGGAGCTTATACCGAGGGCTTACACAGAAAGAAAATATTTTGAAAATGATGATGGCAACATATACATAAATGTACTTGATACAATTGATGTGTGGATTGTCATAAGACCTGTAGGAGTCCCCAATAAAATTATTTATTAATAATAAAAAAAAGTCATGTCAAACAATGAGCATGAGCCACGGGTACCAAGAAATAATTCACAGAAGAGGAAGTGGGACTGGTGTGCAATTTCTGCAAGATAAGCCCAATCCCACTATTAATTAAAAATATAATCAGAGTAAAGCAACAGGTGTCTGCTCTTTACCTATTTTAAAAAATCCTCCAAAGTAATGCGAATTGCTAGTACAGATGTAGTACAGAGCTAGTGCTCTTGGGCACGCCTGGAAGTGGTATGAATTTCTATAACTACTTTGGAAGGCAGTTGGGTAATATTCACTTTGGCCCATGAAAATATTCCTGCTTTGTCACCCAGTATTTTATTTCCAGAAAACAATCCCAAATCTGTGTACAATCCAATCCAGTAACAGGAATGGTTTGGCATAGTGTAGCTACTCGATGGACGTGTGTAGCCATTTAAAACAATGGCGCTGACAGAAAAGGAAGATCTTCCACGTTTCATTCATTGTACTTAGATTACTTTCTGTTTTAGCGTCTGGGGGCTCCTCCAACTGAGATTTTGATGGCAGTGAAAATGGCAATGGTATTGGGACACACCGTCTAGAGACTTGTTTTGGTTGACATTAGAGGGGTTAAGAACTACATTACTACTTTTAGTGATTTGGAAACCGAGGCTCAGAAAGTGAAGTTTACCCAAGTTTAGCTAATCTTGCTGCTTCATATCCTAGACTTTTTCTACTGCTGAAACCTGGATAATCTTATGTTTAAAATTTCAGTCAAATTCAATTTAATAAATCATCATCTAGCATATACTTTTGGATAACTATCCTATAATACCAAATTTTTCTCTTTCTTCAAATTTCAGGGGGTTTCTAATGCCTGTTTTAGGGAATACTTAGAAAAAAGAGTCGGGCAACCCTCTGTTGCAACATCTGTTTATTACAGTCACCTGAGAGAAGTGAGAAAGTTCTTATTTCACAAAGCTTACAAACAGGTATTTTTGTCCAAAGTACAACCAGCATTTGTTTTATTTATTTCAATGCTTATTTTGTTTCTTGGAACTTTCTAGCACTTAACGAGAAGTTTTCTTTAACAGACTGATTTCCCTACTGAAAACATTAAAGAGGAAAATGAACAAATTTGCTATATAAAATTGCATACATCTTTTAAATGAGATTCTCAATATAACAACTATTTCCTTTTTTAAAAAAGCATCAACATCTAGGGAACCAGGAACACGCTAGGTAGAAATCTCTGCTCACAGAAGAACATTCCTTCCCGGCTGCAGAACTCTGCGGTGAGAAGTCACCCCAAAGTGTGTTGCAGCTCTTCCTTTGGGTAACTGTTGAGGCTCAGACCCAAGTGCCCCCGGAAAACTATCCATTCACCGGGTCTATGTTTCTGAGCGCGAGAAAGGCCTGTAACTTATGGTCAAAGTCAATGGCTCTGTATTGGGGCTCCTTGTAGTTTCTGGTCATCTTGGCACCCAGGTATGTGATGAGCTCACATCGCTCCACAAACTGGTCCATCTTCTTCTTATATTTGTTTCGGGTGTATCCAGAACTTTTCGGATTAAATGCTGTCAAAGATTTCATAGTGCTGTGAATTTTCCCCCCCTTTTTTGGTTACATTGGCAAACCAGTAAAGACAAAGGGAGCTCAGTGGATGACTGAGCTGTGTCGCTGTCCAAACCCCCAGTGCCGCCCAGGCAGTCCAAACAAAGAGCAAGCCTGGGGGGCAGCGCAGAACCACCATATGGGTTTCTGAGGCTGGGGCTCTGAGAAAGCAGAGGGTCACACCTTTCTACTGTGGAGTGGCTGCGGGCTTCAAACCACCCCACCTTTCGGTTTGCAGTCAGTGCTTTAACCGAGGCACTACCAAGACTCCTTGTGTAACTCTAGCTAAGAAGAGAGCCAAATCCCAACTAAGACCTATGGTTGATTCGGTTTTAAAGCATAGTGGCCTTTGTCCATCTTCCTTTAGTGCAGTGGTTCTCAACCTTCCTCATGCCGTGACCCTTTAATACAGTTCCTTGTGTTGTGGTGACCCCCCCCCAACCATAAAATTATTTTCGTTGCTACTTCATAATTGTCAATGTGTTACTGTTATGAATTGGGAAACCTCTGTGAAAGGGTCTTTCGACTCCCAAAGGGGTTGCGACCCGCAGGTTGAGAACCGCTGCTTTAGTGTATGGTTATTGAGAGCTGATGCTATTACTCATAGTCCGTCTTCTAAGAACTAGACTCAGCTTTGCTATGTTCATTAGAATATTTGCCACCAACACACACACACACACACACACACACACACACACGCCAACCAGCTAACCTTAATTTTCATATACATGTACTCCAATGAATGGGAAATTAGTTCTGGGCAGCTATGCCATTAAAAACAAAAACAAAACACACCTTTCAGATGAAGTGCTATAAACAGCAGTGCAGATCTTCTTATGCTCAAGAAGGGGAATTTGGGCTTTAGACATCCTACTGCATTCATGGCTTTAATGAGAGAATTGGCAACACCCTGCAGGGGCAGAGGGAACAGCTTAAATCACGTTTGCCTTTGTCTTTGGTTCCGAGGTATATACACAAGGCGCTTCACCTCAAATAACCTTCTGGGACTGGGGGAGGGGTGCAGGGGTAGTGAGATGAGCCCATGGGCAACCGAACAGAAAGACAACATTCTGAGCATGAGCGGTGAAAATGACCCCTTGGCTCTCGGCCCGGGGTGGTAGCTGCATGGGCTGCGTTCTACAACCCCACTCGTTTGTTTGACATTCTCCATGGGGAAATGGCAAGAAGAAAAGTCAGAGTGAAACAGAACAACTGGGTTTGGGGTTGCCTTAGCCCATATCTGCTTCAATGCTCAGAACTGGCCCCACTGCCTTCTACTGTCAGGAACCTGGGCCCCCAGAAGCCCTCCCACTGAACCATGTCCTCCATGAGAAAACTCCTCTCTGGGCCAGCCTCACTTGGCATTTTGATGTAAACCAAACTGAAGACTAAATAAATGTCTAGGTGGTTAATTGTGAGAAACCCTATTGATTGTGCCTTAGGCATCTATTTTGTAGTATTTTGTTTTCAAATAGCTTCTGAAAACAGCTACTATTTTTAAAATGGCTTGTAATCAGCTTGTCTGGCTTTTTTCAAAGGAGCTATATGGATGTGAGCGAGTCTCTAGGTAGTGTAAACAGGTAACTATGCTCGGCTGCTCACTGAAAAGTTGGAGGGTCAGTTCCACCCAGACAGAGGTGCCTCAGAACAAAGTCCTGGTAACTGACTTCCACCTAATCCAAGGATAGGGAATGTCCCTCAGCTCATAGAAGGCCCAGGGACTCCTCCATACCAGCTAGCATCACGTGCCTGACCAAAGAAAGGCTGTTCCAGCCATCACACTAGGATAAGGTGACCAGATTTTAACATTGGTAAAGCAGGACACCATTGATGAAAGTCATATCCTGGCGAAATAGCCACATGGCAGCCGAAAACTGTACACCCTAGCTTGTCGTGCATTCTTTTCAAAAATTGGGACTTTTTTAAAATGCCGCGGGACGCGGGAAAAATTGTTAAAAAACAGGACTGTCCCGCCAAAAGCGGGATGTTTGGTCACCTTACGGTAGGAGTGAATTCATACATGTTTGACCAACCAAGCAGGGTGGTATGTAAGTTGATCATTTTGTATAGCCCGAGAATGATGTTATAAATATCCAAATGGCCCTTGGCAGAAAGAAGGCTCCCCACCCCTGACCCTCAGGGAAACCCTAAGGTGCAGGGCTCTATTCCAATTCACACAAGGTCTCCATGAGCCAGAATCAATTTGATGGCAACTAGTACATTTGGATGTGGCCTGAGTAAGTAGCTTCATCTGCATTTGGGGCAAAATACAGGCCACGTGGTTCTGTTGTCGCCACACGGCAGCTCAACTCTTTTGAACAGCTAGTGAACCTCTTAAGGCCTGAATCTGCATCTCTCAAAGTAGGGACAAGCTTTACAGGCAGGAAAATGAAAAGAATAAGAACTAGATTATATACACATATGAAACAGCGATCACTTTATGATCGCCTGCTCTTGCTTTGCTTAGTACAGGTTTGTGAGCATGAGCCCGGGATGTTGGGCCTTTCACATTTTATTAGAAAGAAAGCCAGCTACACATACAAAATAGGTAAAGAGTGAATTTGCGGCTTAAAATTAGACCACTCTGCTTTGACTTTTACTGTTGCTGATATGAAAAGAATGGCTAAAGAAGAGACATGTGTTCTTCTACAACAACAACAAAAATATATATAGCATTAATTTGCATAATAATATTAACATATACAGAAAGGAAGAAAGGAAATCATGCAACCGCACCTGTTCCAGGTATCCAGGTAAAGGAAGACTGGTAAGGAAGATCGGCTCCTTTAATGGGGGAAGTTTGTTTGGAAGTTTCTGGTCCCAATATTTCAGTGGTGACCTGAGAACACAAAGCCTGTTAGGTGCATGTTCACAGGCATACTTCTTTAGGTGGATCTACAGAGGAGACAATTCAAAGACCATGGCCATTACCTTATTTTCTCCCCAGGGGGAATCACACAAGTGGGAAGATTGAGGGTCCTAGAAATTCCTGGTCACTAGCTTGACCAGAGCCCCCAAGCCTGCTCACTCCCCCTCCCTCTCTTCACTGCTTTTCTTGGCTCCCTCTCGTTTTGGGCACTTTCTTCTTTGTTTGGAGCCTTCTCCTGCAAACATGCTGGTGATTCCCCAAGTGAACAAAATGAAAAACAAAAACAATGCCCACTCCTCAAGTCTATAACCCTTCAGTGGGTTACATATTGGGCCACCAACCTCCAGGTCAGCAGCTCAAAGCCACCACCTGCTGCTTGGGAGAAAGATGAGGCTTTCTGCTCCCGTAAAGAATTACAGTCTTGGAAATCAACAAGGGCAGTGCTACGCTGTCCTGTAGGGCCGCTGAGTCAGAATCAATCGGCTTGAGGGGAGTGGACTTTGGTTTTGGTTTTGGAAGTTCCAGCAACGAGCTTCTCTTCTCTTTTGATAGTTAAACTTCTTCAACCCCCGAGCTTCGCTAGGGATTGCAAACTCTGGGGGACATTCCGTTTGCAGGTGTGAATTGACCCACCAATCAGAATTGGTCATGAATGCTTAAAAATCAGAAAGTTCTATAAAGAAATATGAGTTTCCAATTTCTGATGAAGAACAGAAATGTCTGGCAACAGCTGCGCCAGTGAGGGGGTGGGGCTCTCCAGTTTGCAGTGCTTCCCACCCCACCCTCACCTTACTACTTTCCCACAGATGTCCTGCTGGTCACTATAGGCATCTGGGTCTGAATTACAGGCGGCCTCTCCATTTTCTCACCTCTCATCCCTTCCTTGTGGAGCCACCAGTTGGCTACAAGCTGGACTGTTAACCAGGTCAGTGGTCGGAGCCTACCAGGCACGCTGCAGGACAAAGATGAGGCTTTCTACATATGCACAATCTTGGAGACCCACACAGGCAGTCTCTATAGGGTCCACTCACCATCTGCCACAGCAAGGGAGGGGAATGTCCAGCCTATGGGCCTCATCAAAACTAACCTCACTGCCATCAAGTCGAGTCTGACTCATAGTGACCCTGTAGGACAGAGTTGAATTGCCACTTTGGGTTTCTGAGACTGTAACCCTTTACAGAAGTAGAAAGCCTTGTCTGTCTCCCGCAGAGCAGCTGGTAGGTTCAAACTGCTGGCTTGCCTGTTAGCAGCCCAACTCAAAACCACTATGCCACCAGGGTTCCCGACAGTCCACGGAATCCTCAATCTCAGCTACCACGACATGCCTCTCCAAAGAGAAGCAGTTCCAGCCACCTCATTAGCGGGGTGAGCTAACGGATGTTTGATCAGTAATGGCCTGTGAATAATGTTAGAAATAGCCAAATAGCTCTTGGCAGGAAAAACGGTCTCCCCACCCCTACTCCACTGAAAACCCTCCTTGATAAGCTCACCAATGTTCTGTACAACCCCAAGCTGGCGGGCTTTTCAGCCCTTGTCTTGCTTGACCTTCTAAGTGGCCTTGGGACCCACTGGCTGGCCCTCTCGGAGACAATCTCTCTCTACAGCAGCCTTCATGAACCGCCCTGTTCTATCTCTGCCTTCCCCTCCTGGTGGAATCTTCGGCTGCCCTCTCCCTTGGAGACTCCTCTCTGACATGCACTTCTGTTGTTTTCCTCTGCTTTGTCCACCTCCCCTTTGTGGGTGAGCACAAGCACCCTAGCTTCGGGAGCGACCCCTTTGCTGAGTGCCAGATTTGTATCTCCCAAGTGCTTCCCACGGATACTCCCACCCCGCCCCTCCCAAGTGAAACGATTCCTCTTTTCCCACCAAACAGTTCCTTTCCCAGGTTTTCCTGCCTCAGAGATGACACCACAACCCACTTCCCGTGACCCAAACCACCCCCTAAACCCACTGCCACAGAGCCACTGCGACCCCTATACAGGGTTTCTGAGACTGTAAATCTTTACACCGGAGTTGATAGTCTCATCTTTCTCCCCAGGAGCAGCTAGTGAGTTTGAACTGCTGAACTTGTTTGACTCAATTCCTAACCTTTAGTACCATCAGGACTCTGTATGGAGTGCTGGTGGTGGACTGGGTTACACATTGGGTCTAACCACAAGGCCAGCAGTTCCAAACCACTCCAAGGGAGACATATGCGACTTTCTGCTCCTGTAAAGATTTACAGTCTTGGAGCTCCACTGGGACGGCCCTACTCTGTCCTAGAGAGTCACTGGGAGTCAGAAGTAACTCAATGGCAGTGAGGTGGGTGTTGTTTGTTTGTTCTTTTGTTACCTTGCAGCTGTCAATCTAAATCCTAACTCACAGAAACCCAGAATCCTTTTGTGACCTCTCCTGTTTCTCTCAGTCCCTCATGTTAATTAGTCATCCAGTTCTGCTGATTCTACCTATTAAATAGCTCTCAAATCAGCTCACTTCCCTCTATCATATAGAACAGTGGTTCTCAACCTTCCTAATGCCGAAACCCTTTCATGCAGTTCTTCATGTTGTGGTGACCCTCAACCATAAAATTATTTTCCTTGCTACTTCATAACTGTAATTTTGCCACTGTTATGAATCATCATGCAAATATCTGATATGTAGGACGTATTTTCATTGTTACAAATTGAACATAATTAAAGCATAGTGATGAATCACAAAAACAATATGTAATTATATATTGTGAAATACTTATTTCTAATGACAAATAAATGAAATTTTGTCTTGAAGCATGGTGTAGCCTGGACAAGTCTTCACGCTGGGTACTCATATGTGGGCATATCTGCGTGTGGGCAGACCTGCCTGGAGCGGTGTCTCAGTTCCTAAGACCATCGGAAATATGTGTTTTCTGATGGCCTTAGGGGACCCCTGTGAAAGGGTCGTTCGACCCCCAAAGGGGTCGTGACCCCTTCCTAATGCTTCGACCCTTTAATACAGTTCCTCATGATTTTAATACAGTTCCTCATGATTTTAATACAGTTCCTCATTATTTTCGTTGCTACTTCATAACTGTCATTTTGCTACTGTTATGAATCGGGTGACCCATGTGAAAGGGTGTTCGACCCCCAAAGGGGTCATGTGCCCCACAGGTTGAGAAGCGCTGGCGTAGTGTCTATACTAACACCTACAGGATTTCTCTCTCCATCTGTATGTGGAACCCGGGTGGCGTAGTTGGGCTGCGGTTTGAGACAAGGCCAGCAGATGGAAACCACCAGCTGCTCCGCTGGAGAAGGGTGGGGCTTTCTACCCCTGTAGGAGTCTTTGTCTCAGGAACCCGTCCTGGAGGGCCACCCTGAGTCGGAACGGACTGGGTGGCCATGAGTGTGCTTTGGCATCTATACGTATGTGTGGAGTCTATTGCAACTCATAGCAAGCCCATATAACAGAGTCGAATTCCCCCCATCGTGTTTTCTAGGCTGTACCACAGGGGCAGCTCTACTCTGCCCTCGAGTGTAGCTGTGAGTTGGAATCAACTTGAGGGCAGTGAGTTTGCTTGTGTTTTTTTTTTTTCTATTTGGGGGAGCACATCGCCAAGTTTTTCTCCCAGGAAGCTGCGGGGTGGCTTTGATCCACAAACCTTTTGGTTTGCAGCCAAGCCCATGATTACTGTGCCACCCGGCTCCTCATTGGACAGATGTAGATACAGCCTCTCAGCTCATGGTGCATGCAGCATAGAAGATAACCAATTTAAAAATATGACTTACTGAATGGCCTCACCTGAAAAATTTTTGGAGTTTTTCTTCAGTCTCACAAATATATATGCGATCACAATATTCTAATGCATAGTCAAGATTGCCCGGTATTAGGGCTTCGTATCTGAAAGGCACACACACAAACAAAATCAAATGTATAATTGTAGGTGTAAACAAAAAAAAATTTACTTTTCTACCTATGCAATTTAAGGACAACCTAGAACCATTTTGTTTTGTTTTTTAATGAAACAATTGGGAATTTGTGAGCAAAACGTTAAAAATTGTGAGGTGATCCACTTGTGCGCAGAGGAGAGACCCCACTCTGTATTTCCAGAGGGCGAGGACTTGCCTTTGTTTGCCATCCTGGTAGGTCACTGGGCAGTAGCCTTGCAGTTCCGCGCACTTAGGGAAGCGACTCTTCAGCTCGGACAGTGTCAGCCTTTTGGGGATCATGGAGGCAGATGGGAGTGGATGGGGAGCTAATGGAGGCACATACAGCTCTGGGTTCTCCAGGAATTTCTATTAAAAGAAAGAATTACATTAGGAAAACCATTTAAAGCAGGAATCTGGCACCAATCAAACGCTGAGAATCGATAACTACTCTTCACTTTTCAGTAACATGGTCACCCTTCAAATCTTGAGAGAGAGAGAGAGAGAGAGAGAAATGCTCTCTGCAGCATAATTGTTTCACCCTGGTTGGAAGTGAAAGAGCCCTGGGGACATGGTGGATTATGGGGTGGGCTGCTAACTACAAAATCTATAGTTTGAAACCACCAGCCATTTCCATGATAAAGATGAGGCTTTCGGATCCCATAAAGATTTATAGCCTTGGAAAGAAAGGAGCAGATCTATTCTATCCTACAGGGTCACTATGAGTCATCATTGACAACAGCAGTGACTTGGTTTGGTTGGAAGGTCCTTACAGCAATGCTCACAATGTCATTCATTCATACCAAAAATATTTGTTGAGCAACCACCAGGCACTGTAGACTTGGGCCTGCCCTCTCTTCCTGTCATCCTGTCAGGCAGCAATGGAACTTCTCTGACTTTACGTAGTCCAAACCAAACCAACTGCCATCGGGGTGGCCCAGACCCATGAGTTCTGGTGTCACTCTGGTTTTAAAGTTCTGGGTTTATCATCTAAATATGCAGGAAGAAATAAATGCCCCTTTAATGAAGGGGACCCCCGAAACACACACACACACACACACACACACACACACACAC